AGGTATATTGAATTGACGTGCTGCTTCAGCAATCACTGTGATTTCCTGTTTCTTGATAGCCTCAATAGCAAGCAGGATTCTGCCCTCTTGTTCAATATATTTTTGGCTCGATTGAGTGCGTTTTGGTGGCATAGTGGGTGGTTGAAAATGGTAGGACGCGACGTGGGTGACGCGAACGCGGTAGGGTGGCGGGTCGCTTGGGAAATACGTTAATTCACAAGTGAGTGGGCCACATAAGTGAGTGGGCCACCTAATGCAAAATGCATCAGTTGTATACACCATTCCTTCTTCAAACACCCACCATGCCACCAATTCGTTCTCGAAGCTCTCAGAATTCAATAGAGCAGGAGGGTAGGATCTTATAAGCTATCCAGGCTATCAAGAATCAAGAAATTAGCTCTATTCATGAAGCAGCACACCACTTTCAAGTACCTCACTCTACCTTACAACGGCGCCTTGCTGGTGATGTCTTTCACATTGAATCACACGCCAATAACCATAAATTGTCTCAAATGGAAGAAGAATCACTTGTACAATGGATACTCTCAATGGATTCTTGCAGAGCAGCGCCTCAGCCTACTGCTGTACAAGAAATGGCTAATCTATTACTTGCAGCACATGGATCTACCCCAGTTCAAACAGTCAGTGAGAATTGGGTTACAAACTTTGTGAAAAGGCATTCTGAGCTTTCAACCCAATTCTCAAGGCGCTATAATTACAAGCATGCAAAGTGTGAAGACCCAAAAATCATCCAAGAGTGGTTTAATTGTGTACAACGTACAATACTTCAATATGGCATTGATTTGCAAAGATTGTGTTACAGACCTAGCCACATCAGCCTCACGTGACTATGCGGGGAGTCAAGGCAGAATCATTGGATGATATGTTATGATGGAAATGCAGAAGGAGACAAGGATCCTAGCTGATATTCAAAGGAGAAGTCACGTGATCTCCTACCATCTGTCGATCATGAATGGTATATGGAATGGTATATTGCGACCATCGTTCTACCCCAGATGGTATACAAAATGGTAGGAAGCGAAGGATATATAAGGACACTCATTCCTGTACTTAGTTTAGTTCTTCGCGATTGT